AGGAAAACCCGATTGATCAACAGTGCTCAAGCATGGAGGCAGATAGCGTCCCAACAGCACAATGGGCCCTATGAACAAATGGGAAGAAATCAAGGGCAACGTGGAAAGCTCATTAGCGATCAGATTGACGCAGCAAGCGGAAATATAGGGACGGGCAGCTAGCAGCGTAATGCCTCTAGACAGCGTAATAAGCACCAAAATGTCCGCCAAGCAACACTCTCTCAATCAGCGAAGAATATACTTCATTCACTTATGAACTTTTAACTTTTGCTAACAATGGTTCTTGGTCGTCTGTAGGTCCAAATGCATCCAATTTTGTCGTGCTTTTGTTGTAAGAAAACTGCGTCCGTCCGGCCCGTTATGGGCCCCTTCGGAGCCTTTAGGTTTCCTCGGCATGGCCCATGGGACATGGTCCTGTGCCTCCCCCCCCCCCCCCCCATCCTCTGCATCCGCCACCGGCCCGAGCAGCTGAATAAATGGGGCCCATTAAGAGCAAAGCGTCATCCATTCAAATGAGAAATACTCACGACACAATGTGTAGGGCTCTGAACGATCGAGTGCGCCAGAACAGGTCGACATGTACGGCCCCCGTCAAGAGCTTGGGGCTCTTCATTCAAATGGAAAGCATTCAAGACCCAGTGTAGAGGGCCCCTGAATGATCGGGTGTGCCAGAGCAGGTAAACAGATAAACCTCCCAAAAACAGTGTAGGGCCCTCCATTCAAATAGGAAGTATCCAAGACCCAATGCAGAGGACCCTGGAATGATCCAGTGTATCAGACCAAGTAAACGTAACCAAGTAAAAAGGGCCCAGTCAAAAGCGTAGGGCCCTCCATTCAAATAGGAAACACCCAAGACCCAATGTAGAGGGGCCCCGAATGATCGAGTGTGCCCGAGCAGGTTAACGAATAGGACTCCCAACAAGGGCGTAAGGGCCTCCATTCGAAGGGGAAGCACTGAAGATCCTAAGTAAATGGCCCTAGAATGATGAGTTGTGCCCGAGTAGCGTATCAGAAAGAGACTGACAAGAGTACAGGACCCTTCATTCAAATAAGAAGTACTCAAAACCCAGTGCGGAGGACCCCTGAAAGATGGAGTATACCCGAGCAGAATATCAGGTGACGCAGATAGGAGTGTAGGACTCCAAATCCAAACGCCAAGATCCAATATATATGGCCCCGAACAGCCAGTGTGGCCGAGGAGGCGAACAGAGGGGCCCCGACAAGTGCGTAGGGCCCCATTCAAATAGCACGTGCCTAAGACCCAATATAGAGGGCTCCCCGAACAATCGAACGTGCCCGAGCAGTTTATCAGATAGCCCCCCCCCCCCCCCACCACCACCACCACAGGAGCGTATGCTCCCCACTCAGAAAAGAAGAACCAGAATCCAGTGTAGACGGTCCCCGAACGACTGAGTATGCCCAAGCAGGCCATTAGATGGGCTCCCGACGAGGGTGTAGGGTCCTAAGCAAGTAACAGAGAATTGGAAACGCCCTAGACCAATGTAGAGGACCCATGGGCATATCGCAAGTGTGTCGGTTGGTCAACCGATACCCACGTAAAGGGCCCCTGAGTAACCGAGAGTACCCCGGCAGATTAAGGTATGGGATTCTGGCTACCGCTCACAGAGCCTGTCTGGCGGATGAAAATAATCCATGGAAGGGCCCGTGATTGACAAGAGTTCCCCGGAACGCTAACAGGAAGGGCCCCAACAACAGCACAGGGCTCTCCGAGCAAATGTAAAGAAATGAAGGACAACGTGGAATGCTCCTAAACGACCGAAATGAACCTGCAAGGGTCATATAGGTCCCCCGGAAACAGCATGAGGCCCTAGAGGGTGTAATGGGGCTTAAGATTTCCAGTTCACAACTTTTCCAATCATTGAGTAATTTTGGGGACTTCTCATGGGCCCTTCACTTTCGCTTACAACTGTTCTTGGTGGCCTGAAAGTTCAAAGATACCCAATTTTGTTGCGTTTTGTGCTAAAAAAAAACTGCACCTGTTCGGCCGGCTATGGGCCCCTTGGAACCAATGAGCCCCTTCGGGACCCAAGGGGGGCATGCCCCATGGTCCCTCTCTCTGGATCCGCCCCCGCTTGTTACCGTACGTTGTTGGGGGTACTTTTGTTATTTTCCACTTTTTTGCCCCTGCCCCGGACTCACTTTGCCCTGATATCGGCCTGTCGTGGGAAGAAAGTGATTGATCCTAAGCATGAAGTGCTATTCAGGTGACCAGGACGAAATCTCAGATGGGAGCACCGCAAATCCGACATGGGACACGAAGGGCTGGGCAAGGTCATTGAGGGGGCGCGGGTCGAACCCTAAGATACCAGCCAGAGGGCACGTTGCACCCATTGGGCTCCGGCCTGGGCCTGGAAGCCCATTTCCCAAGCAGGGACAAGGTCAAGACCCACGATTTACATTGGTCAGTGCACCCCGAGCCAATGAGGAGCCCCTGTGTCGGCCAGGGCCACACAGCGCCTAACCGGAGGTTCGGTGTTGACAAGGACCCCCGAGTTCGTCAGGGATTGTACGAGGGTGCCTGAAGAGGGACCGACGTGCCCTTCAAGACTGACGATAAACGGGCCGATGGAAGGCTGAATGGCCGTAAAGGTCGAAAGGCTGCAGGTCATCCCGGCCCGTATGGCTGTGGTCCCAAATGTCAGCCAATATGTCTCTTTCGCCGATTGTGGACCCCTGGGACTTATTTCGGCCGCAGACCACTACACCGAATAGTTGACTCCGTGTTGTTCTGATGCCTGGAGCCCCATTTCTCCAGCAGGAACGAGGCCGGGGTCCGTGATTTACATTGATCGGAGTCCGTACAATAATGAGTGGTCTTTTGACGGTCAGGCCCCCAGAGTGTCCAACAGGGGGTCCTGTGACGGAGGGAGTCCCGATTCGGCCAGAGGTGACCCGGGGCCCTTGCGGGGCTCTTCACCCCGTTTTAACCGAGGGTCCGTTGGCCAAACATGGGTCTGTGTGCCAGTCATGGGATCACCTGCTGTTATCAGAGATTTTGTTGCCCCAATGAGGCTCTTGCGCCTATTCCGGGTCGACTGTCCCGGCCAGAAGCCGCCAGAGGGCCTTCCGCGCCAGGGAGGGCACTAATGTAGGACTACACCTGTGAGGGCCTCCGGACGAACCCATCAGGCGAACCCGCCTCCATGTCGCCAGAATGGCAGCTGGCAGACACCCCGGGCTGGGACGGAATGATCTTTAAGCAATGGCCCAGAAGGTTGAACTTTTGTGTGCACCTAACTTTTCACTAATGTTTACACATTTTACACATTACATCACACATCATATTTACACATTACGCATTTTCAATTAATGTTTACACAAGCCGCTGGCCTAATTTAGATCTACGGTCAACCTTCACGGGATCCTCAATATCTCTGTAGGGTGTAGACTCCCGCCCCCTGGAGGGACGGTGTCCTCTTGACCTTTAGTTCCCCCTCTGGCATTCTAACTACGCTGTTGTCCGGTATGAAAATTCCAAATAAGAATTCATTCCACTTAGCAAGTTAGCATCATCACGACACACACCGACAAACCATGAAGCCACCCACTTAATAGCCGCCGCCATCGAGATCCGAACCCGGGCTTACCGCGTGCGAGACCGGCATGCCAACGACCCATCCGCTGGAGATGCGTGCCCGGCGGGTGAGAATTTGTGATAAAAATAGGACCGGTTCAGAATGAGTTGATGGATTTCGTGATCGTTTGACGCCTATCACGCATAGAGCCGACTTTTCGCACGGGATTCTGCATATTTGCACTTGCTTCCCTCTTAGGCTGGCAATCTGCGTATGTTTGACACGCACAACCATCTGAAATATTTCTGGAGGGTGTATAAGCCCGGTGCGTAGCCACCCTCCATTTTGGAAGGTGCGTAAGCCCGGTGCGTAACCACCCTCTGTTTTGGAGGGTGTATAAGCCCGGTGCGCAATCGCCCTCCGCTTTGGAGGGTGTATACGCGCAACCATTATTCGTTGAATAATTTTCCTTTGGCCGAACGCGCTCTAAGTGTTCCAACGGGTATAAATGAGCTTGTTTCACTTTATCTGATGCTTGTTTCAATATCTTCAAACATGAAACATTGTTTTCAGTTATTCGACATGAAAATGCCTGGTAGCACACTAAAAGGTTCTCAAAATGTAATCTGGCAACTAAGATTCAAGTGGGCAGTAGAACTGTTGTGGTGACGTCACTGCGGTAGACATCTTTGATGTTTCGGGCTTCCACAGTTTTCTTGTCGTCGATGCACTGCCAGTAAGCGGAGATTTAAAAGCATCAAGCAACATAATCGGAAAGCCTTTGCGTTGTTTGTTGCTGTGATATGCGGTGATTTATGACAGCGTAGTGAAGCCGGCGGGGCGGTGCGGAGGCTGAACGAGGGAACGGGGCTCAGGCTGGAGGCCAGAGTTACCCGGGGGGAATGGCCGCGCGTTGCCCATTGAATGCTTATGGCAGAAGCTTGGAGGATAACACCTCATGCTTAACGTCACTTTATGCTTAAGCTGATAAGGTGTGACTGGTCGGATTTTCTATTCGCTTTTAGTGGATGCTATTCATTTTGTGCTGAACAGGACAATAGCTCGTTTCTCTCATTGTACACCATTGGATACTTCTTTGAAGGCAGTAAAGCATACCTCAGCTGGGAACTAGCCATGCCATATTGTATGGTTTCAACATGTACCAATGGAACAAGTCAGCAAAGTTCAAGACCTCCAAACACAAAGTTCTATCATTTGCCAAAAGATAAAGCACTTCAGGATGTCTGGGTGGCTATTAGTGGCCGTCAAGGTGACCTTAACAGGGAGAAGGCATCCATTTGCTCACAACATTTTGGGGCTGATGACTATGTCACTGATCTGCATTTTGCTGTAATGAACAATGGCCCTGTAGAAACAAATCCCAGACGGAAATTAAAACCGGATGCCATTCCATCTAGGAAAGTTCCTGGCAGATTAAGTATTGCAAAGTAAGTGGAAGATGACAGAACAGGATGTGTTGCTGATATCTAGGCATAACTAAGCATGGCTAAACCTAGTGGGCTGTCATGAACTATGCAAGGCTGCTTTTGCAGGTACTGTGCTGCACATTGGATTTCATGATTTGCAATCAACAGTTTATTCTTGTCTTATGCCAAACCGCCTATTCTGTGGAATAACTTTGATTTCTCTCATATGATGTTGATGTTTAACTTTGCTCACAGGACTATTTCCAAGTGGTGTTGATGCAGCCAGTAAGCATCCATTTGAACTTCACCATATTTGTAAGCAAAGCTAACTGATTTAGGCCTCACAGCATATTGCTGGCTGTTGACACACCTGTCTGTCCACAGGGTACCTCCAGTGGCACTGGGCCGTGGTGAGCGTGTCAAGCACCGCCGGCTGCTGGACAGGTGCGAGGTGAAAGAGGAGGAGCCAGAGGCAGTTAAGGCCATGCACCAGCCAAGAACAGAGACAGCGCCGCTGGCTCCGGGGCAGCGGGCGGCACTGGTGGAGCAGGCCATCGCCGACCTGGAGGCACGCGAGGAGCGTATGCAGCGCGAGCAAGAGGCGTGTCACAAGTTCGGCCTGACCAGCACACCGCAGTGGCAGGGCCAGAAGCGCGGCTACGGCGCGGCGGGTGCCAACGGGCCGGAGCGGGGGGCGTCGCCGCAGATCAAGCGGCCGCGCGCCGAGCGCGAGGACATTCTGCGCATGGAGCCGCCGCCGCCCAGCTCTGGCGATGAGATCTCAGACGACGACGAGGCGCTGGCCGATGCCGACTGCCTGGACCTGCAACTGCGCGTGATGACGCGCATGCAGCGCAAGATCGCGGCGCTCGAGCGGCGCCTGGAGGGTCGCCGCCAGCGTCTGCGCGAGGCCACGGACCGTTACGAGGCCACCATCGCCGAGCTGGACAAGAGGCGCGGCATGGACGAGCCAGGCCGGCGCCGGCCAGCCGAGACGCTGCGGGTGCGCGGCGCACGGCCCGATCCCGACCCCATCCTGGTGCTGCACCGCGAGCGCGACGAGGTGCTGGAGGAGCTGCCGCCTGGCGATGACATGCTGACGCTGCCCACCGACCTGCCGATGGCGCTGCGCGTCATCTCCCGACTGCGGCTCGAGGTCATGGCCCTGCGCAGCCGCGTACTGCAGCGCGCTTTCCGGAACGTCACGCACCGTGTTGAGATGATGCAGGTAAACGAGGGGCACGCGCGCGCCGAGATCCGCTGGATGGACTCGTTGGATGCGGTGTTCACGCCGGCGCAGAAGGCGCGCGTGCGGCCCGACTGCCGCATGGTGCCCTGGGCGCGGGAGGACTACCTGAAGGCCATTGCGCTACGCTGGGTCTGCCGGCGGAGCACGTTCGACTACGTGCGCAACACGATGAGGATCCCGTTGCCATCCATGTACTCAGTGCGCGCCGTGGCCGCGTTCGGTCGCTTCCCGGAGGTGACGCAGCGTTACAAGGAGCTGACCGAGCACAAAAGGCTGCGCTTCACGCGCGCCCCGAGCGCCGACGCCGACTCCGACGCGACCTCGTCGCCGCCGCCGCGGATTGGCCGGGGACGAAGCCGCGGGCGTGGCCGACCCCGCGGCCGTGCGGCGGGCGGCCGCGGCCGGGCTCGCGGCGGCGCCGTCGCTGGCCAGCCGGACGAGCCTGTCCTCTGGCGGGACGACGCCGCGCCTGGCAGCGGCGCTGCGCACCGAGTCGTTGGCGCGGCGCCCTCCTGGCCACTGCACGAGCCTGCTACCGACTGGAGCCAGCTCGACCAGCAGTCCGGGAGCGAGTCGAGCGGCGAGGAGGTGGAGGAGGAGGTGGTGGAGTTCGGCGTGGGTGGCGCGGACGCCGAGCTGTTCACAGAGCAGCCCGGGCGGAGGGCCTGGGCGCACCAGCGCACACGCGCTACGCCGGCCACCGCCGCCGCCAATCGCTGGTCGGCCAGGCCCGGGGACTGACGCACGTGACCGGGCGACCCTTCAGATGACCCGTACAAACAGCGCGGTGGAAGTCATGAAGAGCGACTGCGCAGTGTCCGCCGAATTTGGTGTGTGCGCTTTCGCATGGCCTTCAGCTTGGCTTAGCGATGAGACGATGCAGACAGGAGCCATTTTGTTAGTTTGCATAAGTGATGCATGGCTGTGACTCGTCTGTATGTTATGCTCTCTGAGGCGCGTCAAATCGCTTGAATCAGCGTGTAGCCCACCGACAGTCGTGATATTTCAGTTACAACAAATTCACAGCTTCGAGCACTTCGTCCAGTTTTATGCTGCTTTGTGCGACATGCCGCCTGTGACTGGCACGTCGGTTGGCGCGGCGTCCCGCGCGTGACGCGCACGGTTACCCGCGAGCGATCCGGCTCGGGCACATTACGTTAGTAGGTGTACTCGCGTCCAGCGCATGAAATCGTATGTTCTGTTCACATGGGTCGGTTGGTTACAATACAAGCCACAGGCACATTCGGTTCTGTACGTCGTACAGCCCGTGATCGGTATCACAGAGCTCTTGGGCAGCTGGGGCCGTTTTCTGCGTGACGGTGCGGATCACTTTCTGGCATGTCATGACGCATGTCACGCTCGCAAATGCTTGACAGAGCTGCGTCTCGTCTCAAATACGCCAGGCACTTAGCGCCATCAGGCAGGAAGGAACTTAATGCGCGCTGCGACGTTAAGACCGTTGGCGAAACGCTTTCTTGTATTAAAATAATTTTGTTCAGAATTAAGTGCCCACTTTTAGATCGCGCGCCCGGTTTTCAAAACATGCTTGAATTACCTGCATTGACGTCATTGGACACTGACCCCGACAAACGACGGTATGTCTGGTTTCATCCCCCAGGCGCACGCGTTGAGTTGGACTGACCCTATTCGACAAACGGCCAAAGCCGCTTCTCACTGGGCGAGGCCTGGCACCATGTCAGACCGCCCACCTCAGTGTGGAGCTCCTCCCAAAGGCGCGGTTCGCCGCCGTCTGCTCTGCGCCGTGTATTGACGGTGGGGAGACAGGCTTCCTCCGCCGGAGGGCACCACCGTCGCCGGGGCGGGCCCAGGCGGTACATCGACGAGTCTACCGGGACAGTCACGACAGATGGCCGGGTCGGGCCGGACGGCACTAGCACGGGGGCGTCACGTGCGCTCTACAGGTGCGGAAGCGGTGCTGGCGACGCGCGGTTTGCTGTCGGCCACGCGCCAAACGGGCCCGACCAGCGAGCGCCGTCGTACCAATCTCCTGTCATTCTCATGCCTCGCCACTCAGAGACCGGACCAGGACCGGAGCGTTTCGCGCGCGTGCCACCGCGGTGCGTTGTCAATTCCGGGCAATTTGTACTGAAAACAAGCCTGTCTACGAGCGGAGGGTCCGACTGGTCTCTGGGCGCCTCGGGCGTTATTGCGAGTGGAATTCCCTTCAGAAGGAGGCCGCCCGCGCACTCGCACCTGCGCCACTGCACGAAAGACACGGAACGCCAGACGGGCGGCGTGACCGCCACGCCGCGCGCGACGGCTCGCCGGGCGTCGTCCGAGAGCTGAGGTCAGGTCAGGCCAGGCCTGAGGGCTGGGGTTCGGCGGCCAGCGCGCCCGGCGCCGCTAGGAGCGCCGGATGCGCTTGGTCCGGGGTGCGGGTCGCGCGGTGCCGGCGGCCGGGCCAGCCGCCTCCTCATCCGAGTCCGAGTCGCCCTGCTCGTAGGGCTGCGGCAGGAACGACGGTCGCGCCAGGCTGGTGGGCAGCGTGCCCTCCTCCCGCGCCTGGTCCAACGCCCGGACTGCGGAGGCGGACGGAGACGGTCACACGGCTGGTGAAGACATGGCAAGCACAGGCTGAGGGACGGGCGAAGATAGGGCCACATGGCCAGCCGAGCAAACACCACACGAACTCTCAGGAAAAAGGGAAAAACGAACTTGGAATGGCATGGAGATCCATGTCATGCCAATGACATAGACCTGGACAGGACGGAACGCTGGCGCAGTCGGGAGACACACATGGAGATCCATGACACGCCAATGACACGGACCTGGGCAAGACGGAACGCACAGTCAGGACAGCCACGACCCACACAAGAGCAAAAACTTGACGTCTGCAATTTTTACATACGCCATAAGAGTGAGCGGTCGGTGGTTGCCAGCTGGCGAAGGATCGGCCGAGATGGGGAAGAGAAACATATATTTCAGCAGCTAACCTCGTCGCACAGTAAGGCCGCAGTCAGATAGCCAGACAGTGCTGCCAATAGCGGCCCGCGGTTGCCGGCGGGCCGAAGGGGCACAGGCGCGCCTGAGACCACATTCAACCGTCCCCAGACTCACTCTGCTCCTCCAGCTGGCTGTTCTGCTGCCGCAGGTCATCAATGTCCTGCAGGTGAGCAGAGTTCTTCCGCCGCATGAACTGGATGTAGTCGGACGCCTTCTTCAGAATCTGCGCTCGACTCGACTGTGTGACAACGTTCGGCACGATCAAAAACCGGGCAGATAGACAGCTGATAACCAAGGCTAGCCACGGTCTTGTAACGCGCGGTTCTTGTAAGGTCAAACAGCCATACAGGCCATCCATGAGCTAAATGGCATCGGAGCACCCCAGCGGCCCTGAGAAACGCGCCTTTTTCCAAACGTGACAAACCAGACTTGTATTCGACTCAATTTTGTATCCGGCTCAATTTTTTATCTAGCTCCGAACGGCTCACAGATATTATGATCCCATCCAGGTCAGGACTCATAGACGTTCCACATTTTGTTGACTCAACTCAGCTCACGCCCACGGCTTGCGTTGAATCACTGGTCCCATGACTCACACAGCTTGTGAAATCAAAGATCCAACTCAGTCCTGGCTCGTTGCTTCATGACGCCAAAACCATATGACTTATTCGTCTATACATGCCTGTACACACACACACACACACACACACACACATATATATATATATATATATATATATATATATATATATATATATATATATATATATGTATATATGATGATGATGATGATGATTGCATGACCGCATATGATGTAATACAGCTGTTGATGCAATCCCGAGGTCACATTCCGCGACACACAATCAGCATATGAGACAAAGGGGCATACTCACAGCCGTTCAAGTCGTGGGTGAGTGGTCAGGTGTGGATTAATTCATTGTTGTGACAATTGACCACGAGAAATAGCCAATGTATTTTATATACAGCGGACAATCATTCACTGATTTTAGCATAGGATATAGGAGTGCAGGGTGCCGGTACCATGCAATATACTCTGGTTCCAGACTGAGATTCGGCAAGCTTCAGATCTGGACAAACAATATTGTGAATGTTGCTTTGAAATTACAATAATAAACTTTGTGCTGATTTTGCAAACGGCTTCATAATTAATGTCGCATACTGTTCATGTTAACACTCTGAAATGGACTGCTGGCTGTCTGAGGCGAGCCGTTTCCCGATGCTACCATTTTAATTTGACCAATATGGCTTTGTGACACAACATCGTGATAAAAATGATCAGTTTATGATTCAGCTCATGACACTTACGAATATTGTGATCTAGCACACGGCTCAAAGCGGCATTGTTCCCAACGAGCCAGCTCAGCTGGCGGTTTACGCCTAGACAACTGTCTCGTGAGTCCATTCACACCATTCAGCCCGCGTCGAATACTAAAATGTTTATTGTTTGGAACGTAGGAAAGTGTCCATGTTTATCTTTATATTCAGTTCGTCCAATATGATTAAATATGTCGTCAAATCTGAGTGGATTAACATGTAAAAATCTATTTCTTTCAGTTACAAACGATATCAGTATTTGGGTAAGACACCACTTAATGCCTTATTCCTCGCAGTATAACCAGACGAATGGATACAGACGGATTGATATTTCGGCTCCATGCTTTTATCAAAACAAATATCCGTGGAAATATTCGTTATTGTTATTCATGACTACTGGTACTCGTTTTGATAAAGGTATATAGCCGAAATATGAGTAGATCTACCTCTCCATCTTGCTGGTTATTCTACGATGAATAAGGCTATCAGTACCATCTCATCTATACGCATAATATTCCCGTATGCACACATACAAACTCATGAAATGTGTTCATACGATACCAGTTGTTCAAGCAGTTTATACCAGTTCAGAAAAAGGAGTCACGTGGTCCCAGACTCAAACGGCACCGTGACCCCTGACGGCCCATTGACCTTTACACAGCACCCTTCCTGAACAGCCTTCCTCTAACACGACGATGCCGTGGGAGCTCAGGCACCCGAAGTGGCACAGCGATAAGGGAAGTACCGCAACAGGACCGGAAACCGAAGACAAGCTTCCAAAAATGACATCTGTTGGGGCTATAGGATGAGCTTGTCTGAAATCCCTACTGAAAGTTGGGTTGTTCAATGCAAAATACAGCCGGAAACGTCGTTAGTAGGTGCGATCTACCTACACATATCCTGCTCAGCCAAATGGTACGTGATAAGCACACAGATTACGACCAAGCATCAAACGTGCTGCTATCTTCGTCAGAATCGGCACCCAGAGCGCACTGTCCCGTGCTCTATACCAACAGCGGGAACACACGGGACGTGATGCAAGCTCCCGTCCCGAGTTCGTGGTGGCCGAGGTGGCGAGATCACGCCACGTGAAGGGGGCGGGGAGGGGGGGAGGGGGGGGGGGGGAGCGCTCACCTTCTCGCCCTGCAGCGCCGGCACGGTATCGCGCAGACCGCAGAAGCTATCCTTGATGTGGTCTCGTCGCTTCCGCTCCAGAGCGTTGTGGTGCGCCCTCTTCTCCGCCTGCGAACCGAACTGCGGGACAGGAACGCACCCGGTCAGCGTAGCACGGAGGTCAAAAGGGGGGGGGGGGGGGCAGGGTAGGGGCTCGAGCACTGGCTGTATTTTCAGTTTTACTTGGCTTTCAATATCATCAGCCTCTGTTACATTCATCTGACTGCCGCGGCGGTCAGAGTGTTGCAACATACTGAAATTGATAGGCGAACGCCAGTCAGTAGGTCACAGTGGCTGTGCTGGTCGTGACTGCCAGCCACGTGCAGCGCACCTGACACTCGTCCATGCTGACAACGCATGTGCAGCTGCATGTGCATGAGCGCCCGGAGCGAGACAATGATATCATGGTCGACGTCATGACCGGAGATCCCACGTGATATTTCGTGAATGTGAATACACGGCGCGCACCACCAAAAAACGTCCGGCCGAATCCCCGAGCTTAGGACATGCTGCTGCGCCCTTTATCGACCAAGTGGTGGTCCGGGGCACGAAGGGCACTGCACACAAAGTCCAGCTAGCGGGATACTAGTGCAAGCATATAAAACACGGGCGCAATCACGCATAGTGTGGGTCTGCAGTCTGCCCCGGGTCTTCCACGCGCTGGCAGCTGTGTCCCACCTGCATCTGGTTCTTCTGGCCGGAGGAGCCGTCTCCATAGCCACTCTCCAGGTCCAGGTCGTCATCCCCGTCGTCCTGGCGCGCAGACGGCGGTCAGTAATGAACGAGATACGCGGTCCAACAGATGTGCTGCAAGGGCCTACCCACAAAACGAGACGGAAAAACGGAGGTTGGGACACAGGACTGCTAATAGTATATGGATACTGGATCCCCATACGATTACTTTGAGCAAGCCTTGGACTTGACTTGGGGAAGAGTTGGAAACAATCCGAGAATGAACCAAGTTTTCTATTTCTCCACATTGAATTAATTGAGCAAGCTATTTCTCATCAGTTGGTGTAAGAACTGAGTTAACCCTGTCATCAGTAAGTGAGTTAGATACATCAAATGAACCACAGTAATAGATAGCTACACTGTTATCAAAAAGCATGACTGTTTGGGCCTTTGTGAAGTCAATAGGACATCTTATAGACAAATCTCCCATCTCAATGTGATGGGACTCGACTCCAACTGAGTCTTTTCCAGAACAAGTTATATGCCAATGAGTGGAAATAAAAATTCACCTACTTAAGTGAATGGCAAACACAAGTTGACCTTTGTTGGATCAAACATAGTCTGGGGCATAACAGGACAATAGGCAATCAAAATATAATTATTTGGGTTATTTTGTGACCCATTCAGCTCCTCCTCACTTTTAGCATAGCAATATCTTGAGCAGACTGTGGCACCGGATGAACGGAATAACAGAACGCCACCAGTCAGACTCGAACCCAGGTTTTGGACACTGCATCGCAGAAGGGCCAGGACAGTTGAAGCACCTCTAGACTCAAATACTGTAAGTCATGAGTGCCCTCTATCCACTACACTATGTTGTTGTCTTTAAAAACACACAAAGTTCCTAAAACAGAAGGGCACTTCCTACATTCAGGATTGGGGCAGTAAACATACAATGCCAGGGAACTTGTAGTATTCCATGGATGGTTGATTCTTCTACTGCACTTTCATCAAAACAAACATTCAGAGAAGTTCATCAACAATCAGGATAAATAGCATACCTCTGGAGGCAACAAAAGGGCTTTGACAACAGACTTCAGTGAAACACATCTCCCATAACTGAGCAAAAGATGGGCCATGTCATTGTTTGAGCATGAATCCGCTAATTGTATTATAACATCATCATTTTAAGTGAAACATGGTTGGGAAAAAACAAGGCCCCTGGCCTTTCAATGTCTATGAACAGGAATGAAACAGAGCACCACTGTTGCAACAAAGTCAATCAGAAGGCCTCAACTCCAAACTTATTGCATTGCAACCAAACTTACCACAATAAAGCACATATATCCCACAATGCCTAGACACATGTAATCCATTTGAATTCACATCCATTAATGCTTGCCAGAAGTTCACAAAATATGCCAGATGGTGTGGAATGTGTCACAAATGAAAGGCAGGATGCAACCTTGGTGAGGAGAGTTAATTCCATTTGAGTTTGCCACTTATAAAAAAATATAAAATAGGAAAGTTAACTTACTCCACTGTCAATATCATTGTATCCATCTTCATCACTCATGATTGTCTGAAAAAGAATAAGCATTAGAAACAGGACCACTCATTTCTGGCTTGGCCAGAGTACATATCACTATTTTTGTCACTTGTGATTGAGAAAGAATGAGCATTAGAGACAGCAGTAACCATTTCCAATATGGCAAGAACATGTATCATGGGATTCAGATTACAGATTAAGGCCAACCTAATGAGTAATGATTTTAAGATCCTGGGATTAAGATTAAGAGATTAAGACCAACCCCAAGACCAATCATCCACCTTTACAAAATATATCCTTTGTAGAGCTATCCCACCATAGGACTGACATCCTTGAAGACTGATAACCTGTCACAATGACCTACAAAGTTGCCCAATAATGTAAAAAAAACAGTACCAATCACTATAGAGATCACCTAACTGCTCACATTAACCATTTAGATAAAAGGATAAAGACCTTAAGCAAAAGTGCAACAATGTACTAAAGCTGTCCATGGTTCACTATTTCTACATGGTAAACTAAGTATGGTTCTTGAGCACATCATATAAAAGCTAATTGAAATAACCAATTGAAACATGTTCAAATGTTGATATTTCAGCTATGCATTTATGCAGAGGAGCATTTGTATCCCTAAAGTACTCAAAATCAATTTTGCTTCCATGAAGAACTTATCTACATATATTTAATACTACAAAGGGATGTTCTACATGTGAAGATATTAAAGCAAGTAGCAGACATGCAAAATAAGCTTGCTTTTAAGTGTAAAAGACTGCTCTAGACAACACGATTTTGCAGCTTAGTAAATATGCTCCTTGATGCATCACTGTTTGATCACACCATCATACCTAGCACATCAATTGATAGCCAACTGATAAGTGTTATGTCTGAAAGCTAGGCTTATGAATGTAAGAAAAAAACTCAACATTTTATTTTTCATGGACTTGACTGCCACAAAGTCAATCACAAGGCACAATTTTAATCATGTTTGAGTGCCGTAGATGTCTGGGTGTAACTTGAAAGTCTTTCCAACAAAGCCTGCACACGTTCTTGGGTGTGGCTCAGAAACTAGAATAGTTTAGGAGTTAGAAAGGGCAAGGTTATGAGCTACACCAAATTATCTTCAACATGATTATTTCAATTCAAAACCCACACAAATGAGAAACACTCTTTAAGTGAGCTAGCAATGTTACTGAATTGGCCAGCTTGTTTCATGCATTTAGCCCTTCTTTGTCTAAGAAATGTCACAATCCAGTGTTCAACTAGTCTAAGGGCTGCTAAGAGTAAGCAGCTGCTAGGAGCAAGGCACTTTGGATGCTCAGACTTGTGAATGGGAATGTCCATTACAAGAGCAGGAATGTTGTTTAAAATCTTACTTAGCTTATCTCAGACCATACCTGGAGTATTGCATACAGGCTTGGTCCCCATGTTTCCAAAAAGATTACATAGACTGGAAAAGTACAGCAAAAAAGCAGCTTGGATGACAAGTGGGATTGGTGCTGTAGGATATCAGGATGGGCTTATGGCCTAGGATATGTATTCACCAAAACATCATAGAATTAGAGGGAATCTGAGAGAAGTATACAAGATTATGAAGGGGGGCAGACAAGGCAGATCTACATGGAGCAATGAAAATGGGGCAGAGGACATAGAGGAAACCAGTTTCTTTAGTATAAGGTAGGAGTTAGAACTATGAAAAGGCATGTCATTCAAGACAAAGGAGTAGTGAACCATTGGAATGGACTGGCAAATAAAACTGCAACAAGTCCATCTCTGGCAAGATCCAAACACCATTTGGATAAGTGTGAATGGTCTGAAGATCTCATTTATAGCTAATTTATGCAGGTCATGTGATAACTTTTGCAGATGTGCATGGAACCTCAGGAAAGACCAACTCTTTAATAGGCCCTGGTGGTCCTTGGTTGGTCAGATATAGTCTGTCTTCAAGTCTAGGAAGTATGATTTAGTTTCTTCAACTGTACACTTTATTTCCTTCACCTTTATTATTATGTTCTATATCGCACTGCTTCAGTCAAGCCATCAACAATTTTTACCAGAAAACAAAACCAAAATATCTTTGAATATATCTTTGCCTGCCCAAAGGCGGAATCCCCCGCACCCAATTGCCAAGACAATTACCAAAACAGTGGGACAGAAGGCCAGGCCTAAAATTTGCCACTTTCCACAAATAAGCCAATCAAGGTAGCATGCTAACTATATCACTGTTTCCCATGGGTTTCGTCAAAACAATATTGTTTATCGTTACTGCAAAGGAACGCACACAGTGGAGCTTCAAAAATTTGCACTGATGCAAGGAAGCAAATCATAGCAATTGGTCCATTATAGCATGAAAACCAAATATGGTTTGATGCTTGTATGGACACATATGTAGCTCTGATCTCATTATGAAGTATAGTGGTGCCTACCAGTGAGTAATAGTTTGCATTACAAGACCCTGATTAGGCTGAGATGGGGATTGCATGGTCAAACATGTCCAGATGAAGCTCCCATCTTATCATCTAAGTGAAAACATCTTCAGAACATTTTGCCTTGAAACTACCTTAATATTATAATTCTCCTAAATTATCTCACCAAGCACTAAAATTGGCAATGACTGTTCCCAGGTGCTGAGCAATCTGATTTAGGACATACATGTAATTGTTTTTGCTGATTTCTCTACTGCACAAAAAGTTCAGTGTCAGTTGTTCCTACCAGGCAGTCTGGTGAGAAAGGGTAACATGCTCTCAGAAAACTGGTGGGATAATACTTCACATAAAGAAAGCCTATAAATATAGTTACATTGTCCTTGACAGGTTTTAGCCTGCAGGGCAGAGGAACAGGGTGCACCCTAAGTTATGTGACATCAGAGAGCAGGATGTAGTGTCAAGCAGAGCAGCATGTTAAACTTCATCATCAGGTGGTGGAACGGGCTAGCCTCACAAAATGTGCGCTGCCTGGCATAAGCTCTGATCCAGTTCATCCCCTCTAAAGATTGGATAAAATATTTTTTTACAATCAACATACCTATTCTTAAGAAGCTTTTTCCAGTAATGGTTGATCTTCACTTTGCTTAAATGACGTAACAGTCAAACACAGCGATTTGATCGGGCTGGGTGTTCGCGTATGTGGCCAGGCGCACATCACTGCACTAGTTCCATGCACCAGACCGACAGATTGGGGGTATTAGCAGCTCAAGCACAGCATAGCAAGCGCCACACATAAGAACAATTTTACCAGTACCTTAATCAGTCGAAGGTCACACTGGCCAGATAAATACCAACACAAAAACCCCTTCAGGACCAACACCAAACGACCGCAACACCAGCAACCAGTCGCCCATCATACGAAGG